TCATCCGAGTTTATTGGACATTTTGCGATACCAGAGACTGGAGGCATAGAGCTTCTGAGAGGAAAGGACATTAGCTTCCCTGCTACAGGCCTGACATACTATGCTGTTCAACACTGAAGACACCTCTGCCTTTTTCAAAATGGAGATGAGAGGTTACAGGTCGGTGAAAGTTAGGGAACAAGTTTCCAGCCAAACAATTTGGGTTTTTGAAGATTTTGAATCATTTTGTGTGTTTGTGTGAAGCAAGCCAACAGGAAGACAATGGTGACTACATGGTTACCTACGCCGTCATCTTTAGCAGTTTATAAAAATAAACTATTTCACTAAGGGTTTAACCTTTAATATTAATGTAAACATTTATGCAATCGGTTATATGTCCATTACATTTGATAGCCAAAATATAACCAAGAAGATTTTTAAACAAGTCTGCTAGCTGCTATATCATTCGTCTCAACCAAACCTACCTAAAGCTAAAAGAGGTCCAACCCCTGATTTATTTACCTCCTTGAATTTGCACTGTGAATTAGTTTTGAGCACATTTTAATTGCCCTTAAAGAGATAAAAACTCATTTGACTGTCTTCCAAACTCTTGAAGATAAACACTGGTTCTCAAGGATGTAATCCATGCTGAACTGTGATATCATTGAATCATTTTGTTGAGTGGATTTCAACCATTTTTCATTTTACCATGTGTCCATAGTAGTTTAGTTCAGTTTCGACAAGTTTAGTCAAGACACAACTGAAATATGTTTTACTTGGACTTGAATGATTTGTTAATTATATGTTGAATGGAGGCTTTAGCTAATTATATCTGCGTGCAAAGTTAACCATTGGGCTGAAATCACACTTTCATTTGTTGTCCTAACACAGCCAGTTGGACATGTGTTTACAGAATATATGACAATTTAAGTTTGTTTAAATAACATTTGCCTCCCCCGCTCTGGTGGGCTTTAAATAAAATAAGTTAAAGCATAAAAGGCTTTCCATTTCAGATAAACAGGAACATATTTGCAGTATAAAGTTGCAGCATGACTGTTTACAGAAAAATACAAGGGGGGTGAAAATCCTGTAAAAAAAAAAAAAAAAAAAAAAAGGTGCATAATACAAGGCAATAAAGATGTTATGAAAACAGACTTTTTATCATCTCTTTCCTGAATTACTTGCACAGAGGGGGGATTACTAAATTATTCATACAATTAAATACCATGTAAGTGGTTGTTTATAGGTGTGAAATGAAGAAAAGGTAACCCTATCCCCTCAAGACACGGTGTGTCATTTAAAGCTTGAGAGCGAAACTAAAGGATGTAAAGCTCTACCTGGTCAAGGCTCATCTAAACCTCATGTTCCTCCAAATAATGAAAGGGTATCCACATTTCCCACTCTTGTGTTTCTTTCAATTTTAGGCAACAGTTCCTTGATAAATTTCGGACAATCTTGGTGTGAATTCATGGTTGCTTATTTTAAATTTGATCAACCCTGGTCGATGACACGGGGAAAGCCTAAAAATAAATCCCATTTCTTCCCCAGTCAGTGATATGATACAAACATTACCAGTGATGGGAAACCTTTTACTGTGTAGCCTCTAATGGCTGTGTTCACTACCGCAGAGTATTAAAAGCTAGTCTGAGAAAGCCCTGAAGTTGCAAGAACCTTTCTGATTACATGCCTGTGGCAGACTCTGGCTGCATGACAGAGGAAGAGTTTCAGCAGATAGCAGGAAGCCTTAACATAGTACAGCTCTTTAACCCCACATGTCAATACCAGGCTAGATTGGAATTGACAACTGTTGGAACATTGGAAATCTTTCAGTCAAGCTCTGTGTTTTCCAGGTATATACAGACATACTGGGATTTTGGAAAGGCTACACATGCGGGGAGCTAATATAGGACTTTTTGAAGGTTTAAGATGCATTTCCTCTTCAATTCTAATCTAAAAAAAAAAAATAATTATGGGAAAAATAAAGAACCGGAAGGGAAGTCCAGAGGCACAACTGCCTTCAAGGGGACATAACTTCCTCATTTAACACCAGTGAGCCATCGTTATGCAAATTTAAGATGAACATCTGAGCAAAACGTGTATCCACCAACCCAAGAAGAGGATTAATACAAGCAGGTTATGTTCAGCTTAAAATTACAGTGAAGATTCACCCTATGAACACAAATCAAAACAACCAACACGCCTTTGCAGAATAAATTCAGAATTATCATCCAACTAGTCTATTTTAATGTATGGTGCAACCCTTTTATGCAGTTTTCACCAGAATACAGATGAAAACCTAAGCAGCATATTGTTTATGAAAAAAAAAGATTGTGTTATTTCAAAAGTTACCATGCTCCGTTTTCCCTTTTATTAGATGGGTATAAAGAGCCCATGAGAACCACCTTAGGAAACCTGTGTATCTAGTCTGTGTAGGTTAAAATAATAAGCATGAATTCTGTCATAGTGAGCAAGATTGTAGAGGCCTTTTGTATGTGATCAAAGAGCTACATCAATTCGAGCCATCTAAAGCCATTTCTGAACTTCCTGTAATTAGGCTAATTTTTCAGTTGCAAAGCAAATTCTAATGCAATTATGCAACAGAAAATTTAACAAAAAGTTTGTTAAACTTTGCTCCAAGAATCTATAATTAACATGTTTCATTATACAGATTAAGATGACTCTGGTTCTTATTGTTGGCACATAGCTATGCGACCCTTTTGTATTGATGTACTGCTTTTCCCAAAGACGTAAGCATCACAAGTTTACCGTTCTGCCATTTGCAGGTTTTGCCCACCTTTGTTTTAATAAAACCTGAAAAAACAAGGGACGCTAGAATTTATTGAGCGGGTGCACAGTTGATTTATTTGCACCCAACTAGTGGAGATTTATGTTTGGGCTTAATTGGGATGTAAATTAATGTGTCCTCAGAGCTTGGATTATGGAATTAATGCAGCTGTTTCAAGTCATAAATCAGCTTTAGCAAAGCAAATTAAGAGTTTTATAGATGGTAATGTTGTAGTTTCAACAGAACGGCTAAAGCTCCGAAAAGAAAACCTTGATGCAAACAACTGGTTTAAAACTAAACAGGATGCATGTAGAGGCTGTAAAAAAAAATCTATCAAATGGCAATAATGAAGCTAGAGATTAAACACAGATTGTACTGCTCTCACTGAACATCAGAAGCATGCTGGCAAATGAATAGTTGGCCGTCAATCATTACTTTTAGTTAAAACAAGCTGCTTTGCTTTATGGCAACATAAGTGAAGAATTCCATACATGATGATTAAAGCATTCAAGATGATTAATGAACAACTAATGGCTGCTAAGGAGGTAATTCAATCATTTGAATCAGGTGTGTTGGAGCAGTGATTTATCTAAAACAAAGGACACCGACCAAGGTTAAGAAACCTTGATCTAAAGCACCATGCACCAAACCCACGCAAACATGGCGCCACAGCACCTTAAAGACCAACCTGCTGTTTTATTATTGTTTTTTTAATCAGCAGTGTAAAAATGTGTTAATGGGGACTTATTACTCAAAGTTCTGTTTTATTTTAGTACTTCCATTTGGGTCTTTGCCGCTCATCCAGCTGTTTTTTGTGTACAGTTGTGACATTGCAGATTTGTTTGAGGGTATTTTCAGGAGTACAAAGAGAAAGTGGACACTAGGTGTGGGGACCAGCAAGCTACGGCTTATTAGCATACATGTAGAAGTTAATGAGCCACAAAACAGCTGATATTATTTCACCTCATTAGTTTTGCCTTTTTAGCTAGTTTCAGAGAAAGAGCTTGTGTAAAAAAAAATAACTAAAAAACATTTTTTTTTACAGTCTGCAGATCTATCCCAACCTGTGTAAAATGGAGCATAATGAGTTCCCTTTAAAACTAATCCAATAATCCAAAGGAGCAATTAAGGAAACACTAAGCTTTGACTCAAGTATCGGCTTAATTGGAGATGTATCAAAGGATTTTTCAGGTCAATATACAGCATTTGACATTTCATTGTCATATTTCGAGGGCCCCTGGTCCCTGTAATGTTACTAAAATGGTGGAAATATTCACTTTAATGTTGCATCAAGTTCTAAAAACAGCTCCCTTCCTTTTGATTTAAAGTCCAGTTTAGGCTCCACCATAAGGCGGCCTTTGAAGATAATCTTTTAGTCCAAATTATATGAAAATAGAAATTTTAGGCTGCAATTACTCAAAGGCCAACAAAGTTGGTTTATAGTCTTTTAATATTCAAATAATACTGAAGATTTCTACCTCTCTCATGTAGAGAGGTACATTCTCTCCACCAAACTTGCCCTTGTTAAAGCTTCCCTCCCTGCTCCTTTATCAGTCCATCTTTGCCCTCCTGTTTTATGTTTTCCCATGTCTTTCCTGTCCATCACCTCATCTCTGTTCTCTCTGGTTCTTCATGACATTTAACTTCTTTACACACATTCTGCTCATTCTGTGCACACAGACAAAAGGTTCACAGCATGTGCAAATACAGATATGATGACAGACATGCAGGTGAATGGACATGGGCTGTACAGCAGGTGATAAACAGTAAAAAAAATGTCAAATCTAATTCCCCCCCAGAGGAAAACTGCTGGCTGTCGGCCATCAAACAAGTCGATAAAATGTTTCATTTTAGATCCGTATATTACCTAAAGGTGCACTTAAACAATTATAACAGGCTCAAAACAAAACAAAAATGGCTGAGCCTTACTCAAGCTTCAAGGTCTCTAAAATACCAAGTTAAAGGTAATTGAAATGAGCTACTAGGGGATTAAAAATCTTTAGTGGTTCTAAATGTTCCAAGGCTGGTAACTATGCATTACTAAAGGCTGTTAAGTCTTGCCTTTATAGAAAGTCACAAACGACCAAACAATTGAAATCAATAAGTACAGAGCCTTTTATAAATCTGCCAAAAATCATGTTTAAGATAACTTCTCTTCATTTCCTGTTCAGTCAACAGCACGCAATGCGGATAAAAGCACAAAACCCCAGAGTGCAGCAACAGATGCACAACTTACCTTGACTCCTCGCACTCTGAACTCTGCAAGGGCTCGGCTCATCTTGGAAGCAGCTGTGTTCAGGTCCTTTCCGCTGGCGATCACTTTCACTAGGAGTGAGTCATAGTGAGGGGAGATGACAGCCCCCTGGAAGGCTGAGGCGCTGTCCAGACGGATACCCATGCCTTCTCCACTCCTAAAGACCTGTCAGAGGGAGACAACATGGCAGGGATTAATTGCTCTGCCAATCAGATACAGCTCATCTAAACATACACTCGTGAATGCATGAGTGGTCAACAGACAAACGGCTTTCTCCTTTAAGACCATCAGATGTGTAATCAGCTCCCAGTGTCTGAAACTGGCTATAGACATAAACCTGTTCTCTAAGATGTAGAATATTCTTACCAACTGTGTCAGCATCACTCCAGCCAACCTAAATGTTATCGACTATTTTCATATTTACACAATATCTTATTAGTTCTTAGAAAAAATGTAGTTCTGTACTGTGTTTTAAAAGTTTGTACCTGTCTGAGGAGTACGGAAGGAAGCTAGCAATACCCAACAATGTTACAAGACCTCTAATTTTAAGATTTATGTATTTTTTCACACTGAATCCATCGATTCTAGCCGTAAATCCTTCTGGAATCATTTTAGGCGACACAGAATCAGTAACTGCACACACACTGCAGCCGATCAGAGTTTATATGCGTATTTAATGATTTGGTTTGCTAGTTGTCCCCGCACTCAGTGCTAGCCCAATGTGAAGTGATTTTTTAAACGATAAATAATAAGGTAGCAAAAAACAACCTATACTATAGAATGGAGTAGCCCTTATGGGATTTTTCCATTATGATATGCTTTTCCCAGACCTTATACTCGACACAAGGCTTCATATATTCCTTTCTCTATTCATCCTGCATCACGTTTGTTTAGTTTAAAAAAAGTGCAATGTAATATCAAGCCTGTAAGTTGTGCTTTACCAACAAGCTGGTTAAATAAAAATAAATCCTTGCCCATACATTAAAGTTGACCCAGGATAACTGGTCCAATTGTTCCCTCCTGTCGTGTCTACAAGTGTTATCCAGGTTTGGAACCAGCGCTGTATGGACAGAGCAAGCAACCCCTGGGATTAATTAGGTAATTGGTGAGAAAACTGACATAGCTCCAAGCTTGTTGGTACGTCATCTGCCGTGTCCATAAAGTCAATAGACATTGATGCCTGATGATGCCTCTAGAGCTGATCAGTCATTTTATAGAAGTAGTGTAATTTATTCTGCTTCACTTAGTTTGTGATTTCATGTTATAAAATAGATAAAAATACTGAATTTTCCTCTGCTGCGTAATAAAGCATGATGCGTTTGTCATGACACTTGACATTATTATCAACTTCTTAAGGGGGCTAATGTGTTCACTGCAAGAAGGAAAACATCTGTTTTAAATCAAACTCCATTTAGAAGACAATGGCTGCCAGAAATATGAGCAGAGAAATGAGCAAAATGCGGAAAACCTGCAGGAGATGGGTGAGCAACAAGGGGGGAAAGTAGCTGCATCACAGCACTTGGCAGGAGAGCAGAGATTGAGAGAAATGGGGATTGTCCAATACTTTAACATATGGAGACCTGGGGGTGGGGGTGAAAGATGAGTAGAAATTGTAATTATAACGTTGTGCCACACTGATGTTATGCTGGAAATATCCCCACACAATGGGAGCTGCCGAGAATTATGATGAGCAACATTTTGTATGGGCTTTGTTTTTTTTTTTTTATTGAACCAATCTCCCAACTCTGAAAAAACTCAAACTGAAAAGTCAAATGCAAAAATAAGTAACCCCTTACATTACTGCTGTAGAGGGTTTTTACACTCCATCACATCCTCATTTTTTCCTCTTAAGCTTATAGGCCAACGACTGCAATCCACAATGTGACATGGTGATGAAAGCATCTAACCTCTAGCCTGCTACCCAAACCAAGTAAAAGGCAAACAATATAAATATGCCCTTGGAACAGAGTTTTTCTCATGCACTGTGCTCTGTGGAGAAGGGTAACCCCACCAGGAATAACACACCCACACCTTGCATAAATGATCCAAACATTAAGTTAAACGTTGAGCCTTTCAGGTTTCAACTAAAATACAAAATAAAAGTGTTTTTCACTGTGAAGCAATGACATGTTCTCTTATTGCTATCATGTTTGCTCTTCTAAGAAGAATTTCCATTTCTGCTGATTTGCAAAGGAAGAGATAGTGTATGATTAGGTAATATTCTTTATTAAATACAATAATCTGACGACAGACAAGTTTAACTATTTTACTAAGCAATTCAGCCATTTGGAAGACTAAAAACTAACATATTGAGAGAGTTAAAAAAATTGACCTAATGAAGGAAGTCATGTACAATATTTTCTTTCCCTATTCACCTCAAAATATACAACCTATTTAAATTGACAATAATTTGCCAACAGATTTTTTACTATCTGAGGTTCAGTGCTGTTTATTTTTCTACTGCTTACTAACGTCGCTTCTCATTAGATGTCTGCCTGAAATTAACAGGCTAAACAGTAAAATGACCTCTGCCCATCTCTTTAACACTGCAGGGTAAACAGCAACAGACCAAAGCAGAAGAAGTGCTTCACTGAAACCCAGGCTTTCTGCTCCTGCTGCTCAGTCTGCATCATTAAAGGTGAAGGAAGAACATAAAACTTTGCCTAAAGTGAAAGTGAAGCAGCTCTTTGACTCGTGTTGGTGAGAAGAAATGGTTGACCCTCAAAGGAGGTCTATGATAAACTTATCCAAAGCCTCAAGAAATTAAACAAATCATTGCTAATTAGCTTTAAGTCAGTTCTGCAACATGACACTACGTTTTCTGAAACAGCAAAATATGCACGAATATGTTGAAGATTTAAGGTAAATAAAATGTTTTTAAAAAGCTCTTAAATTTACACCTGCAGCAGGTGACCGTCTCAGATATAAAGTTAGGTTTAATTCCAGTTAGAAAAAGAGACATTTCTTTCATATGTAAAGGAAACCACTTTAAGCCATTAACTGATGAATTTGATGTCATTTCTGCTTCAGCATTGCTCAACACAAACAATAAGTAATTATCCAAACAATGAATTAGTTTGCATGCATGCATTGGTTCAAGCCGAGTATAATACTATAGTCCACATTCTATAAGTCTCCACAAGCCCTTCCACTCAAACGAGTTTTGCCTCACATGGCTGTAGATTCCTTTTGCTTTTGCATTTTTTCCTTCCCCTAAACTTCAAATATATGATGCAGCATCTAAACACCCAGCTTTTTAATTAGCTAGCCTCCTTTATAGAAGTAGTGGATAAGAGCTGGACATCAGTCTCACCCAAGATCGCATGACCCATAAAGGCTTTGCTTTAAAATTTACTTTGACAAAAAAAAAAAATTTGTCTGCTATAACATTTTTCCTAAATCCACTATTTGGCTGCACTAATCAAAATAAGCTAGAGATACATGGATACAGAGACATATAGACAGATGGAGATAGGTTTTAATCGATCCTTTGTACTTTTAAGCTAAAATTCAACTTTTTCAATACATCTTTAACAGAAAAACTGAAAAAAACACAAAAGAATATTACATGGTGTCTAAAGAAAGCAGCTAATTCACAATAACTGCACCTCATCTGTATTCAAAATAATAAACCCAGAGACAAGAAGCCATAAAAGCCTGTTTTTTTGCAAAGTATATTCATAGAGAAAACGGCTAGATCCCCCGAAATGAGGACCAACACTGTTTGTGAAGACAGTGCTGTTGTGCTCATGTCAGAAGGCTAATGAAATGTGCAGCAAGACAGATGTTTGCCCGCTGCACTTCGCTGAGCAAACATATAAATGGGATATGAAGTTAGACAAGAATTCACAACAATAACAGTAGAGTCTCAGTTATTGGGAACACACAGATGGGATTTGTTTTACAGGAAAGTATCGTGGGGGAAAAGAAAAAACAAAGTATCACCCTATGGATTACAGGAGAGTTATTAATTTTCTCCAAATTAGATGTTTGCGCTCATTAAAGACAACATTTTAGCATTTCCATCAGCCCAATAAGGAATAGGGTACAGCTATTGTGTGCTTATATCAACATGTGTGAATAATGTTTGGGGGCATAAGAACAAAGATGGTGCCAGAGCAAATCCTCAATACTTTGATTTTCCAAGACTTGCTGAAAGGCAGCAATGCTAAAGATCTTGCATTCAGAATAGAACAGGTACTTTACAGACAAAAAACTGAAGGGAAAGTCAAGTACCGTGTTAATAATTCAAGTCAAGGGGATGGCTTCTTTCAGCCCAGGGCACTGTCAAACAAGAAAATCACACTTCTCTTCTCTTACACTCCCACCATGTCATTGCTTCTGTCTTACCTCTTTCTTTATAGACTCCAGAGAGTCAGAGGCACAAATAATTTAAGTGGGGTGTATTGATACGCATACTGATACGGCTCGACTCAGTCACTCACACTCTGGAGCTGGGATCTCTGTCCTGTCCTGCTTTGTTCTGACTGAGGGGAGAACTTCTAATCAGTCAAAACCCCAACACAAACTTTGCAGCTTAGTATTAAATCCTTTTAATCTTTCCACACTGCATCAGTCTCCCCAGCTGTAAACTTTCTCTTGGCCATGCTTTACCCTTTACAGCACATTTTTTATATTTCCTGTCAGAAACTAGCAGTCTACAACCCCCCCATCTGTTTCCTGAACACTTCCAATATATCACTCAAACACTTCAGTCCCTCTGCTGCACAGGTCAACAGTATATTTCTGTGACTTTGAATGAGAAAAATGTTGCTCCAGCATGGGATACTTTACAAATCACTCACTGCTACTGCAGTCTATGGAATAAATAAAAATAAAAGAGCTATGGATTCTTGGCGGATTTCCGTGGACCACGCCAGAGTACTTTTAGCAGAGTGGAGGGAGAAAAATATGAACAAAAGATGTGAATTCAGAGGTCAGAAGTCAGAGGGATAGTATATTAATTTATACATTGGCATTCCAGAGTAAATGAACAGACAAAACTATTCTAAAACCAACTCAAATTTCTCAGAAAATGCAGCACATTTTTAGAAATATTTTCATTTGTTCTAGTTCATCACAATGTGTAGAAATATTAATAGTGGTTATAATGAAATGACAACAGTATATATAAATATATTTAATGACCAAAATGAGTTGTGGAA